CAGAATAGGTCTTCTCTGAATAGGAGCTAACTTCACACTGACTTAATGAGAAATCACCAAAGTACTTGTTCGACTAGGGGCTAGGGAAATACTGGCAAGAAGAACAAAGAATCTCTCCAAGGAAGCCATCCAACACTAAAGCAGTAGCTTCTAAATAAACTGAAATTGTCTCCATGTTCTCTCAGAAAGGTCACGATAATTAAGTCATTACCAAAGGATTTCTTATGAGGTATGATGGAATACCTCATGGAATTGCTGAGGTAATAACAGCAATGACTTGATAATGTCAGGTAGAAGTAAACTAGCTCCCCTCTCCCTGACAGTTACTTTTAGAGTCCTAGGATTTGAGTACTTTGGAGCTAGAAGAAAACTCTACCATCATCAGGTTAAAAACCTCATTTTTTAGATGAAAAGGCTGAAGCCCAAAGGGGTTCTATGACTGTCCTAAGTGACAGAGGTAGTTTGGGGCAGAACTGGTACCAGTCTCTGGGTTTCCAGGGCTATAAAATTAGATATAGGGGTACCTGGATGGCTCAGAGGTTAAGTGTCTGCCTTTGGCTCAGGTCATGATCCCAGGGTCCTGGGATCGAGCCCCATATTGGAATCCCTGCTCAGCAGGCAGCCTGCTTCTCTCTTCTGCCTGCTGCTCCCCTTGTTTCTGCTCTCTGTCAAAGAAATAAATAAAATCTTCAAAAAATAATAAGAAGATTTAATTTGACACATTTTTTTAAAAATGTGTTATCTGGAGTAGATTGTGGCAATTTAGTTCCTAACAAAACATTTGTAAAGTGCCTGTCCCTGTGCTCTCTTGGTGTTGTCAAAATTATTCCTAAAGTAGGAAAGAAGTTTTGAAGAAACATTAGAAAAGGAGGCGTCAGATATGATGAGAGTATCTGAATGTCTTAATAAGAGCATATTCTACAAAAGTGGAGTTCACATATCATTTAATTTCTTTTTTTCAAATAGGCTCCACTCCCATCGTGGACCCCAGTGCAGGGCTTGAACTCATGACCCTGAGATCAAGACCTGAGCTGAGATCAAGAGTCAACACCCAACCAACTAAGCCACCCCTGCTTGTAGTAATTTCTGAACACCTTTTTCTGAGAGCAGGGCTGCAAGGGGTGAGAGCTGGCCCATGTAGCTTGTCCAGTCTTTGGGAAGGGCGGGTACTGAGAAGCAAGGGGGCCAAAACCATCTCAGGATAACTTCAGTCAGTGCTGTCAAGAGTAAAGAGTCTCAAAATTATGAACAGCCCCTGAGGGAGTCAGCCATTTACCTGGGAAAGGGATGTTAAAGTTCTAGGTTGAACAGTTCTGCCTTCCGGGCTTCCCTGATTCTCACTGGCCTTTGCTGCCTTGGTATTTCCTTGAACTATGTCCTGTAGATGCCATATGCATCTGTTCCTACCCCTTCCTACCAGGTCCCTCTGCCTTACCCCTGCTCCTTTCGCTCCATGCTTCCAAGTTCTGTTTTTTTTACTCAGGAATGGTGACAGCCAAGTCAGGAGGCACAACAGAGTTTAGGAGAGATACAACAGAGAAAGTGACAGGCTCACCTGACCCAATGCTTTCATAATTATTTCACTTCATTATATTTTATAATGCTTTCATAAATATAGATTTAGTTTACATAAAAACTTTAAAAAAAATTACACCTGACAGTCTTATTGCTCTCAGAATATGAATGGACCTTTAAGGAAAAACCCATTAAAAAAAAAAAAAAGATTAACTCCTTTTCAGTGACCTCATTAAGAAGGGACAATACCAAGCCTAAAAGTGGACAGCAGACTATCTTACAAGGAGAGTATACCAAGGACCGTGCACAGTCTTCATGAGGATAGTCTTCTATATAGGAGTATTCAGTTTTCTGTGGGAAATGTGAACACAAAGTAGATAGACACAGTTTATCTAATTTCGTGGCAAATTATATTAATTAAAGTATAAATACAAGAGCAAATTTTTCCCCACCCCACTTAGTTTATCAAGAACTTTGCTTAGGTAGGATCTTAAAGAAAGAAAAATCAAAAAAGAAGACGAGGGACCTGAGACCAAAATCTTGAGTTAGAGATTTTAGTTTCTAGGCTGGGCTCTGCCTGCCAGTTGCTTTTCAGATCCCATTCGAATGTATGCTGCTCAATTTTCTCTTATTAAAGGATAAGTAGACCACCACAATGGTATTGAAATACCATATTGAAAAAGTGACTTATGATCCAGAGACCAAAATGCCAATATAGGAACCAGAAACATTTCAAGCTCTTTAATTAAAAGATTGGTTTCAAGTGGCACCAATATTTAATTATATTAATTTATATTATTTATATATATTTGTTATATTTATATTAATAATATTTAATTAAAAGATTGGTTTCAAGTGGCACTAATATTACTGGGGTCCTAAGATGTTCAGCTTCAATCCACATTACGTAGCAATTCAGAAAGGCTCTTGGGTTTCGGGATTGAGAGAAAATGGGGTTTTCTGATTCTGCTTTTCGGGAGGCTGTCTGTAGTTCATATCAATTCCAACTTTAGGGTGCCCAAGTTGCCTTAAGGATCTTTAAGTCAGTCAAGTTCAGTATAACCCAGAGGTTATTGAAATGGTCATTCTCAGCTTACCATATTAACAGACCAATAGCCTGGACCTTTCTTGCTTCATTCTATTCCAGATGTCAGGGTTGAAGCATGTTTGCCTATTTACTGCCATGGGGCTTTGCCTGGGCATCTTTTTGGTCCCTGACATGTAACCCAAATGCCATTACTATTGTATAAGTTGTTTATAAACCAAATCAGGATGTAAACAACAGCTGGATTCTTATTTTAAAGGAGTCACATGATTCCAGGGGGGGAAATCAGCTTTCAGGAGTTTGTCTCACATTGGATTTGGTCTGTGGTTTCCCATTATAATGCCACAAAGCTACATGGTTATTAAGGGTTTGAATCAGCTACTCAGGCAGTCACATGCCCACAGTCAAGAATGACCTCACTGAGCAACTCATGTTTCTAAGATGTTAGGAAATTCAGACTTGCTTGAAGACCGTGTCCTTAAAGTGTGAGGATGTCAGTGGTTGATATGATTTAGCAGCACATTCTAATCTGAATTTCAAAACAGTTGGTCTCTTGCTCAAGGGGACACCCGAATTTTAGATCATGTACTTGCCACAGTCTTCAGAGTAGCTTAATCCCTGAACCAGTTCAAATAGATTAAAATTAGATCTCCTTCTCTCTCCAAGAAAATCATCTTAGATGAGTTGGCATTTTCAACACACTAAGGCTTTCATTGCCCTTAGTGAATAAGACAGGGGATTCTGCCTTAGTGAATATGACGGGAGGGTTCTGCAGGCCAGTTTCAAGTAGCCACATATGCTCCCCAGCTCCTCTTCTTTGTACCAAGCTGACATTCGCACTTTGTTTGGCTTCTGAGTTCTGGCTTCTGGGTCTGATTGAGCCTAATATTCTAGTCCCATCTGGTCATGGACAAAGCAATCATCTATATAATTGGAAGACATTATTAATAGGTATATCAGAGTAAAGCTTTTTTTTTTTTTTTTTCTTTTCTGGGTCATTTAAGGACAGTTCCCATGGGCTCCTGAAAAAGTTTATTCTGCTAGAGGACTATTTGCACAGAGCTTAATGAGATATTAATGCAGAGCCTAATAGAAAACTAAAAGTCATTCACAGGGTTGTCTCATTTTCTACACCTCATATTTCACTAAACAAACCCAATACAGACTTGAACGTCTGAAATAATTGAAAAAAAAAAAAAGGTGGTAATGATTCACTTTACAAAGATTCACTAATTATGAACTTCCCTAGTGCATTTAAGTCACTCATTTGTTGAAGTTTGTGTATTTGAAACAATCTGTTTCAATCAGCTGTTGTTGTTTTTAAACAGACCAGGATCATGTTCTTTACATAGAAATGGAAATAAGTTATTAAAGGGTAGAATTCAGAATTACTCAATGTTGTTATCATCTCATTCTAGTTCCCTTTCTCCTTTCACAAAAGAAAAGTTCTCTGAAGGGGCTCCTGGGGCCGGGGGGAGGGAGCAGCTCTTTACAATTAGCTAGACCTCATAGGCTAACATTTTCATCTTCCTCCATGCCCTATACTAACTTTCCACTAGCAACATCAGTACCCTGATGTGGCTTTATAATTCTCAAACGAGTATTTTTAGAACTGTTCATTCATATAAGATAACTCTCTTGAATTTCAGAATTTTTATCTACTTGGGAATTAGTCAGCATTGCCTTGCTTTCTTCATTCATATCTACTCTTGATGATTTTTTTCTTTAGTCTGAGAGAAGAGATAGCTTAAGACGTGAGGTTTTGTGAAGTCATTTGGTTTGGGGTGGATGTTTGAGGGCTAAGGATGGGTATACTCAGTAGCTCCAGGCCCCTCCTGAGAAGTCTGGAAGTAGAACCATTGAGCCAAAGCTGTGGGCTTAAATTCCAGCTCTGGCAATTATCAGCCATGGGACTTTGCACAATGGCTTTGAGCCTATGTGCTCCCGTGTAAAATTAGGACAATATGTAACATTTATATCGTAGGGTTGTAGAGAAGACTGAAAAATTATGTAAAACACTCAACACAATGCCTAGAACATGGTGGCTATTACTGTTGATGTTATTAGTGTCTGGGACGACAACACTGTTCTTGTCAGGTCATGCCCTTGCCACTGTTACTTGCTTTGTTCTCTACTTCTTAGAATCACTTTCCCTCTGGCTAAAAGGTGTAGTAGCTATTCTATTTCTGTACCTATTGGCCAGTTAGCTTAACCAAGGTGAAACTAGGTGTGTATGTGTATGTGAAGGTAATAATTTCCAACATGGACACCAATCTTAAATCTAATTTCAGAAGTTCTGTCTAAAAAAAAAAAACACCAAATACACTTCATGCTTAGACAAATTTATATGGGAAAAAATGATAGGCTAAGTCATAAGTTATTACTGTTACATGTTAACATTTTTTGGTAATTCAAACTAATTTCCTTAATATGAATTTAGATAATGTTTAATTTGGATAAAGTGCACATCATTTTGGATGAGATGGTGTTAAATGGCTGCATTGTGGAAACAAATCGAGCAAGAATTCTTGCCCCTCTACTCATTCTTGATAAAATGTCAGAAAGCTGAATGATAGAAGGCTCTACCAGACATCAACCTGTAAAAATGGGAATACCTCTCTACATCTGTAGCCCAAAAAATGTGGAAGACTGCACACTGCAAAAGGGGGTGTCCTTCCAAAGACATTTTAAATAGGTGTTTTCCGTAGTTCCTAAATGGAAAACAAAGCTGTATTTTAAAATATGGTCTACAAAGAAAAATTTTTCTCTGAACTAAGCGACGAGTTTTATTTTCTAAACATAAGCATTTTTTTCCCACCTGTTCAAATTTTTTTGAGTTCTGAAGGTAACTTTTTCGTTCTCTGCTTCCCTATGCACGTTTAATTCAGGATTAGCAGCATGGGAAGAACATGTGACAACTATCAGCCAATAAAATTTTAAACACACATAGTACTTTGAATGTTTTCTGAATGTTCTTTTTCCTTAAAATGTTTTAAGTCAAAACTTTACAAAATTGTGTAACTAATAAAAATTGAGAATTAAATTTCATTTACCAGTTTCTAAAAAGCCTGATAACCATATTATTTGCACTTGGCAATTAAAATGTCATCATGTAATTAATTCACTTATAATGTTACTACCAAAAATGAATGGTTACACATTAAAAGAGCGGTCTTACAACCATCCTTTAGGCCATGTTGTAAATGGTTTGTCTTATTAGTAAACTTATCTGTAAGTGAAATTTACTTTAGTTCAAAGTCTAAAAATACAATGTAAGAGAATATCTCTTTTGAGGTTGGCATAATATGAACCCTTCTCCCCTGCCTCCCTAACTCATTCCTTCGACCCCTTCTCTTGGAATGTCCTGAAGCAAAGAAAACTAAGTCACTATAGAAAAGCAATGGCCTGACCTTTCCAAATGTTCCTAGATGCGTTTGCTACTTTAGTCAACAGTAAAGCATACAGAATTATCTTTGGTAAAAGCATGTTTTATGTGCATATTGGGAAGGAAGGAAGATATAATGGAGGCAATAGAACTACAGTCTTGGTACATTAAGATATTGCACCATCCTATGGAATTCTAAGTTTTCATCTACAACACTCTATCCTCCAAAAGAAGACATAAATGGACATTCCAGGAATTGATGATTCTTTCAGTACTGTTTGCTTTTTATTTTTTCTTTCTTTTATATGTGGGGGGTGAGGGAAGGATTTCTTTTAAATCTTTTTTTCTAAAAATCTATTTATGTATTCTAAGTTTACATCTATAAAGAGCCAGGCAACCAGTCAATAATGGATTCTAAAAGCAAACCTAAGTTGTTTTGGACTCATTCAGAAAGGCAGAAGGCAGGTTTCTGACCGCCAGAACGGCAAATGGTACACATGTATAGACCTCCCTTTGCCTTAAGTAGCCACGGTGTGGGGAAAGCCCAGTCTAGATTTAAGTGCTCTGGAGGTCTTTCTAAGACATAGTTGGGCAACACTGTCCTAGTTGGTAGGCACTGAATCAGCAGCACATTCAGGTAACTGCTGAAACTGGTACACCAGAAGTAACTAGGGAGTGAACAAAATTAATTTTCAGGTCACACCAAAATAGCACTTGGATAACATCTTGGCACAGATTTTCGTACCTTTAGAGAATAACAATTAAAAAAAAAAAATACTAGGTAGATACCAAAGGAAAGAAAGCTGAAGAACCTAATATATGTGGAGACCCTAGCAGATGTTACCTAACACTTGACACATGCAAAGTGAACTGTAATAGGACTATCTGTTCTTCTAGGCTGTGTCATCATTTCCCTTCAAATTTATTGCTGAACCGTGATGAACAGCTTTGATTTTCACTCTCAAGAAATTTATGCCTCAGATTGGTCAGCTTTATCTTGAAGACTCCTGACATTTCATTTACTGAATGTATAAGACTCATCAATTTTACCTGCTACAGCGATGTGCTAGACCAGGATTCAGCAAACCTCTTCTGTAAAGAGCCAGACAGTAAATACTTTAGGCTTCATGGGCCATAAGGTCACTGCTGTAAACACTTAGTTCTGCCACTGTAGTGTAAAAACAGCCACAGATAAATACGTAAAGGAATGAACATGGCTGTGTTCTAACAAAACTTTATTTATTTATGGACACTGAAGTTTGAATTTCATAAAATTTCCACATCATAAAATATTATTCTTCTTTGGCTTTTTTTAAACCACTTAAAAATGTTATAACCGTATTTAGCACTTGGGCAATACAAAGCAAGCAGCAGGCCATCGTTTGCTGAGCCCTGTGCTAGATTAGTCTTCATAAAAGATGGGTTATTGACAGACATTTTACAGATTTAGATAAATGGCAATACTAAGCACATAAATTGGATTTTAACTCTAACACTAGTATGACGTTTTAGTCATGCATCCATGACTTCATTAAGACAATCACCACCACTATTTTTTAGATTAAAGCATAGGTCATACATTTAAATATTGCTATTATGTTTTATTTTAACTTTTATTCTCACAGAGAACTGTGAAACTAACAACAAGATGAATTATTTAAACGCTGCCACTGATAACATAGTACAACATTCTCATGCAGAGAATAAAAACAGTACTCAAACGACTGACTGTAGTGGGAGATATCTCTTCTAATGTAGAAAGGGAATGTACCTTTTAAACAGGTAAATAATGGGCAATTCCAAAAAATGCTTTTCACTCCTAAAAAAGCCATTTGGCTAAATCAGGCCTAGTGACATTTCTTTCACCTAAGGGCACAGATGTGATACATCAAGGGAATTTGGGAAATGGAAATAGAAGAAGCTCTACTTCAAAACCAGGAAATGGCAGTATCCCTGGTGGTCTCTTCTAACACTGACAGAACATTGAGAAATCATTCTTGGATCTTAGACTTACACATCCCTGCAGGTACAATATAAGTAGCAGACCTGGTGTTGAAAAAGTAACACAAATAACTGGGCCATTCTTAGCTGAAGAATACTTTAAGACAGCACACAAAAGTTGGATCACAAGCATGGAAACATATATTTCTTCTAGCTTTCCAGTTTCAGTTAAGTGTATTTACTATAGAAAAATACATTTCTAAATGTAGGAATTTTAAAAAACTAAATCTCAGTGACTCAAAATAAAAAATATCTGGTTAAGCTCTCAGGTCTGCTCGTTGCAGTGAAATAGTCACATGACACAGTTTTGTACGCTGCAAACATTTTAATGATTATTGTTGAGCATACATTTTGGAAATTTTTTACTTCAAACTGCAACAAGTTAAATAAATGTTTATAATATACAAAGAAAATACAACCAAAAGTAAAACTTGCTTTTAAGTGTGCCTTGCATCTAGACCAGTGTTTTTTCTTTTTTCCCCTTAATATATCTTTACTTTTGAGCTGCACAAACACACTTAAGAATTTGATCTTTATAGTATGGCATTTAGGAAATAAAAATATACTCCCACCTCAAAGAAATAAAAAGGCTGTGCATGATTATATGCCAAACAAAAGAGAGAACACTAGAATACTCTGATAGTGCAGGCATCATTAAAAAGGAAAAGAAAAAGCTTGAGATGCTCATTAACTCTCTATGTTTTAAGGAAGCAGGATTTTTGACCAAGTAGCTTAAAAGCCAGCAAAACAGGGGATCAGTGATGGCAACTGTAGTGTATGAAGTATGAAACAACAAACTTTACACAAATACACTGTTAGAAATTTACCAGTGAACACTGAGGATCTGAGAAGCTGCTCTTTGGAACAGTCAAGTAGGGACCACCTTTTTCCAGTCACTAAGCCCTTGTAGCAACACACAGTGTTCTGTGCTATATACTTGCTGGCTGGGTAGTTAAAGGATTTGTTTTGTCATTAGCAGCTAACCAACTTATTCCACATGTTCTTAAAGCCTTAATGGTTGAAATAAAGGCAAGTGTCATTAGCGTAGAGGATCATATACTTCTCTGCACACAAATACAAGAGGCTTCACTAGTATTTTAAAAAAGTCTCTGATGTGTCCCATTTCGAAGCTCAGTTGAGATGAAAGCCTTTCTCCATGGTAGCAGCTAGCAGGCGCTCTCTCATGATCTCCTCAGAAGAATATTCAGGCAACTTGAGATAATGCACACAGGTGTTCACTGATGGGTAGCTTGCATCAGTAGCATCAACCTACAAAGAAAAAGTGAAAAGCAGAAGGCCATGACTTTAAGTATTTATTTCTTTCAATCCTGAAGTAACTAAATTACATTTGGATTCCTCACTAGCTAAGGTCTGTACCTTGCGTACAACTGTGAGCCTGGGATGCAGATTGGCCAGTCCACCTGGGGGAAGAGTTGAGCAACCGGTGGTAAACTGCAGGAATGCTTTCCTTTCGTCTGAAGACATGCCACACAAAACCCTCACGAACCTCAGGAAACCAGGGCTAAAAGGAGAAAAACAGAGTTCTACTGCTCTGACAGCGGATTTAAATGAAAAACACTACCACCACTTTGTAAGCAAGCAATAAGCCAAAAAACAATTATCAACATGTGAGAAGAAGAGTACTATGTAGAGACTCTTGACTAAGCATGAAATGAGTGGATATAAGCTACTTTAAATGCAAAGATTGTCTTGTACTTAGAAATGGTTAAGAACTGAAATACTGATGGAGTACAGGGATCAAATATGCAACAAGGCTAGCAAATCAAAAAAACTTAAAAATGCACCTGCATAATTCACCCAAATGTTGCTGAACTACCAAAGGGGATCTGAAATAATCCATCTTTGTTAATAGTGAAATAAACTATTTCTACATGCCACAACAGGGATGAATTTCATAATCATAATGTTAAAGAAGCCAGACCTTAAAAAATATATACTGTATGATTTCATTTTTTAAAGTTCAAATGCAAGAAAAATTGATCAATGGAAATAGTGATTTAATATTAAAAAAGAATATAATGGGCAGGGGAATTCTTGAGTTGTTTCTTGTTCCAGGTACCAATACACAGGTGTTTTCCTTTGGTGAAAATTCTCCAGGGTGTACATGCAATTTGTGCACTTTCTATTACAATTCAATAAAAAGTTGACTTAAGAAAAAAAAGCCATATCGGGCGCCTGGGTGGCTCAGTGGGTTAAGCCGCTGCCTTCGGCTCGGGTCATGATCCCAGGGTCCTGGGATCGAGTCCCGCATCGGGCTCTCTGCTCAGCAGGGAGCCTGCTTCCCTTCCTCTCTCTCTGCCTGCCTCTCTGCCTACTTCTGATCTCTGTCTGTCAAATAAATAAATAAATAAATCTTAAAAAAAAAAAAGAAAAAAGAAAAAAAAAAGCCATATAAATGTTAGTTAAGGTTAAAGTAATCCATAATGCAGTTGACCCCTGAACAACAAGGGATTTGAACTGCACAGATCCACTCTATTGTATTTATTGGAAAAAATTATATAGTAGAGTATTGCAAATATATTTTCTCTAATTCATGATTTTCTTTTTTGTTATTTGTGTATCGTTGACAATGTTATATTAATTTCAAGTGTACACACAGCGATTCAACAAGTTTACACATTATGCTATTTTACCACAAGTGTACTTCCTCATGATTCTTTTTAGTACTTTTTTTTTTTAAGATTTATGTATTTATTTGAGAGTGAGCAAGAGAGAAAGGGAGGGAGAGCACAAGCAGAGGGAGATGCAAATTCCCCACTGATCAAGGAGCCTGA